AACCGCTTAGAGAGGGCTGAAAGCCCTATGAAGCGGTATATAAGTCTAACTGCTATGGCTATTGCTATATATTTGCTGCCTTGGGTTATTTATAAACATCATAAATGCAAGGTTTAAAAAAAATCTAAATCTAATCAGGTAGATATAAGTGCTAAAGCAAATGATCAAGAGCCTAGGTGTTAAATACTGTATTACAGTGTGCTTGGCTCACATCCTTATGCCTGCCTATTTGCACAGGGGTGTGCAAAATTTCTGGCTGAGGGCCACGTTTGTTCTTTCAAAAGTACGCAGGGAGGTGGCTTCCCACAGCATAACAGAGCAAGGGCAAATACACGAGAAGGCAGGTTAAAAGCTAAATAAATATGGGTTGAATAAATACATTCATGTTCATTGAAGACAGTCAATACGATTTCTCTAGCGTGTTTAAAGATAATGTGTTTTGTGGTAAGGAATTGGGAGGTAACTGCCAAAGCTTTTGAGGGTGTAATGTGGTCCAGTGGGTGAAATTCAAATTTTTTTTTACTACCAGTTCTGTGGGCCTGGCTCGGTGGGGGGCGGGGCAGGGGAAGGATACTGCAAAATCTTCATTCCTACCCCACTCGGGGACTAGTCAGAGATGGTACTTGCCGGTTCTCTGAACTACTCAAAATTTCCGCTACCAGTTCTCCAGAACCTGTTAGAACCTGCTGGATTTCACTCCTGATGTGGTCCTAGATTTTACTCTGGGTTTTTGTGCCTTAAACACACACACACAGAGAGAGCAAATATACAGATATATGTTTCTGTGTGAACGAAGGGATGAGGCGGGCGTGTGAATTTCAAACAGTGAATCATGTTTAAATGCCTCCCAACGTGAAATAATTCATATCGTGGTAGGACACAGTATGTTGACTCAGCTTTTAGGGAAAGGTTTATGCACCCAATGGCTTTGTCTGTTCCTTGCAGCCTTGATTCAGACCAGAAAGACCAGTTAATTGAGGTCATTGAGAAGCTGCTGGCCGATAAGACCACGGTGAGTAAGACTGTCTCGGGAGCGGGTGGAGATAAGGGAAGAACATTGAGAAAGAAAGAAAAAATGGATTTGCAAAACGCTATACCAATGGCATCTTGAGATAGCATTTCTCAACCCTGGTGGACTTTAAGATTAAGCATGGTCTTCAACTCCCAGAATTCCACAGCATGCTGAGGAAGGCATTCTGGGAGTTGAAGTCCATGCACTTTTAACATTCATAAAGTTGAGCACGGCTGTTGTAGATTGACAGGTTGCCCCAAGTGATACTGTTTGGATTATGCGCTGCGGTGGCACAGTTAGTTAGAACGCAGGGCTGCAGGCTACTTCTGCTGACTGCCGGCAGTTTGGCAGTTTGAGTCACACCGGCTCAGGGTTGACTCAGCCTTCCATCCTTCCAAGGTGGGTAAAATGAGGACCCAGATTGTTGGGGGGCAATAGGCTGACTCTGTAAACCGTTTAGAGAGGGCTGGAAAGGACTGTGAAGCAGTATATAAGTCCAAGGGCTGTTGCAAAAAAAAAGATGCTATTGCAATAGATAGATAGATAGATAGATAGATAGATAGATAGATAGATAGATAGATAGATAGATAGATAGATAGATAGATAGATAGATAGATNCTACTCTACTCCCAATTCCCTATTCTATTCTACTCTATTCCCTACTCTATTCAACTCTACTCTACTTCCAATTCCCTATTCTATTCTACTCTACTCCCTACTCTAGTCAACTCAACTCTACTCCCAATTCCCTATTCTATTCTACTCTACTCCCTACTCTAGTCAACTCTGCCCTGCTCTACTCACACTTGGCCAATAAAGAATTCTACTCTACTCTACTCTATTCTATGGTGTGTTCTACTCTTCACCAAGGAGAAGGGTTGATAGCTGAAAAAGAACAGAAGTTCTTGGTTCCTGCCTGATCCTTCTGCTATTTTCCTGCCAGGTGAAGAAGCTGGTTTACGTCTACCTTGTCCGATATGCAGAAGAACAGCAAGATTTGGCCTTATTATCGATCTCAACTTTCCAGCGAGGACTCAAGGTTGGTCATTGAAGATGCTCATCGGACAATCCCTCTTCTAGTGCATTTGCCTATACAGAAGGTCTTCGAATTAGGACTGTAATCGCCACTACAGTCACAATGGTCATAAAGGGATCCGACCAGACCCGATTTTGTGACCTTTTATTTGTGGCAAACGCAGCAGTCCGTCATTAAGCAAGCCCATTATTCACTAGGGGCCAGCAAAACCGTCATAAATAGGGGTCACACAACTCTGTAAATTACCATAAATGAGAGCCGGTTGCTCAGCACTCGAAATGTGGTCACATGACTATGGGGTAGCCCCCGATGTTGGGAAACCTGGTTGTAAGTAGCTCTTGGGATACCTGTTGTAATTTCGAACTATCACTAAGCAGCTGGTCCACAGGTGGTATTCTACCGGTTTGGATTGGATCACCCGAATTGGTAGCGGAAATTGCGAGTGGCTCCACCCACCAGCGCCCGGCTCTATGGAATCCCATTTAAGCCTCTTTTTTTCACCAAAAAGTGCATGCGCAGAAGGATCTCAAATGTGCATGCACGCACATTTGCGAACCGGTAGGGAAGGGAAGTGTATACCACCCCTGGTTGTAAGTCAAGGACTAATTGTAATGGGGAGGGGGTGGAATGGGATGTCCGAATGCATTGAGCACTGGAGGCGATTTCCTCCGACTTCCAACAGGTTTACCTGTGTCCTTATGAAAGCGGGGTTAGCTTGAAATCTTCCAGCTGGGGAGAACCGTTTCCTGGAAAGTCTCTTCCCAATTTCTTCTTGGAAATTCCAGGATCCCAATCAGCTGATTCGAGCCAGCGCCCTACGGGTCCTCTCCAGCATCCGTGTCCCCATCATTGTCCCCATCATGATGTTGGCCATCAAGGAGGCAGCCTCGGACATGTCTCCGTATGTGCGCAAAACCGCAGCTCACGCCATTCCTAAGCTGTACAGGTAAGAGGGATCTCTTCAGAACCACGGTTTGGCTGGGCCCATTGCAACTGGTTCCTGTTGAGAGATTTGGGCAGCAGCCAGGGGTGCAAATGCCAAGGTCTTTTGAGGTTCCTTGGTCTAGAGGCAAAGGCATCAGGACTAGAAACCAGGAGATGGTGAGTTCTAGTATCTCCTTAGGCCTGAAAGCCAATGGATTGATTGGGCCAATCATCAGGAGACTGGCAATTCTAGTCCCACTTTAGGCATAAAATCCAGCAGGTTGATTTTGGGCCAATCACCAGGAGATGGTGCGTTCTAGTCCCGCCTTAGGTCTGAAAGCCAGTTGGTTGACTTTGGGTCAATCACCAGGAGGCTGTGAATTCTAGTCTCACTTGAAGCACAAAATCCAGGGGGTTGATTTTGGGCCAATCACCAGGAGATGGTGAGTTCTAGTCCTATCTTAGGTATGAAAGCTGGCCAGGTAACTCTGGTCCAGTCCCTCTCTTTCTCAATCCAATCCACCTCACAAGATTATTGTTGTGGAGAAAATAGGAGAAGAGAGTATTAGAGAGCCGAGGTGGCGCAGTGGTTAAATGCAGCACTGCAGGCTACTTCAGCTGACTGCAGTTCTGCAGTTCGGCTGTTNCCATCCTTCCGAGGTGGGTAAAAAAAGGACCCAGATTGTTGGGGGGCAAATATTCTGACTCTGTAAACCGCTTAGAGAGGGCTGTAAAGCCCTGTGAAGTGGTATATAAGTCTAAGTTCTATTATCAGGCGCTGGATAATCATAAAATCTCATGCTTCTTTTTTGTGTTCAGGCTGCTACAAGAATTTAAAGAAGGATGAACTGATGGGGAAGACTAAAAAAAAACCCCTGTTTTAAAAAGAGACTTATAGTCCCTTTGTCTCCTTTAATAGGACCGAGGAAGAGCCTTCTCACAATTGTTGAAAACATCTACAAAAGACCCTTGTTCCTCTGCTCTGAAACCTGCACAGGCTCTTAATGTGTGAATTGTGTTCTCTGTCTTCTTGTCCAGTTGGTGGCTGGCAGCGTGGTGATGGCATTCGAGGAAGTCTGCCCTGAGCGCATCGACCTGATTCACAAGAATTACCGCAAGTTGTGCAACCTGCTGATCGACGTGGAGGAATGGGGCCAGGTGGTCATCATTAACATGCTGACCCGCTATGCCCGCACCCAGTTCCTCAGCCCCAACCTGAACGTGAGTCAAGCAGCGGGTGGCATAGGGGTCCCTCTATCACAGGGGTGTCGAACTCGATTTCATTCAGGGCCGCATCAGGGTTGTCTTTGAGCTTGGGGGCCTGGAGGTCGGCGTGGCTGGGTTGGGCGTGGCCAGCTCGATGTCACTCGTTGAGGCTCCGTTTTTAGCCACGATAGCCCCCAGCTCTCTGCCAGCAAAGGCGGAGCTTGAGGGTGCGTGGCCTGCCTGGGCTCTCTTTTCTCTGGCAGAGGGTTGCAGGAGGCCATCGTGGCCGAAAACAGAGCTCAGGAGGACCGCGAAGAGGCACCGTAGGCCGGTCCTTCGCTCTTTCCAGGGTGGCCCCATGGGCCGGATTGGCCCTCCCCTGGCCTTGAGTTTGACACCCCTGCCTTATCAGATCCTTTAGTTACTAGCTCCCTGAATAGGATGTGGTGCTTTATCCCAGGGGTCACCAACCTTTCCGATCTCAGGGACCACTAAATTCATCATTTTGAATCCTGCGGACCACTAATGTGAATTTTTAAAAAGGATAAATAGCATTTAGTGCAATGTAAAAAATGCAAATAATTTTTCTGAGGATCACCAACATTTTCTCCATGGACCACTGCTTGGTGACCTCTGCTTTATCCAAGCACGATTCTCAGAAGTTTCTTTTTAGCAAGATGTATTGAGGTGGGTTGGAGGTTAGAAAGCCCATGTTCGAGACCCAAGTGCTGCCATGGGGCGGTGTGAGTTCCCATCCTTTGTTCCAGCTCCTCCAGGGGACAATGGTGAAATTCAACTTTTTTTTTACTACCAATTCTGTCGGCGTGGCTTGGTGGGCATGGCAGGGGAAGGATACTGCAAAATCTCCATTCCCACTCCACTCTGGGACCCGCCAGAGGTGGTATTTGCCGGTTCGCCGAACTACTCAAAATTTCCACTCCTGGTTCTCCAGAACCTGTCAGAACCTGCTGAATTTCACCCCTGGCTGGGGATATGAGCTCCCCCAAACTGGGCTTCCCACAGGCAACGGTGATGTCGCCAGTTAATCCTTTCAACCTGGAAGCATGTCAGTGCTTCTGGCACAATGCAATTGAGATGGGAAGGGGTAGTGTGGTGGAATGCAGTCTGGATTCCCTGAAGGGAGGAGCTGCATTCCAGAGGAGTAAGAGATGGCGAAGTCTGGTTGGGAAGGAAAAAAAAGAGTCAAGAAGCCATTCTCAGCGTATATGTACAGTGAACGCCAACAATTGCTTTGGTCTGGCGCGATTTCTGTCTGTAGGTGAGGAGAACAATAAAGGACATTTCTCAGAAGTCACTTCCCAAGTCTTTCTTGGTTCTTGGGGCCTGACAGGAATCCCATCAGGGACAAGAATCCCACGTATTTTCGACTTGGAATCGATACACCTCAGAGGGACATTAGAACGGAAATGTTCCGAATCTCTTTTTCAGAGACTTAATGGTGCATTGGAGAAAAGGAGATCTCAACAAACCGGTTGTTTACATTCCCTGAATCTTTCTCAGTTAAAACATCCAACCGTAATATTCTCAGGGTGACCGGGGTCAGAGGTATTAGCTGTGTGAACTTGGACCGTCCACATTTCAAGGGCAGCTTACCTGCTTTTGCGCAAACCTGCCCCCACTGCCCCCAAGGCCTTGTTATGTTCTTAGAACAGGATGTCCCAATTCACAATGCATCTTCGACTTGAATAGAACAGAGCCGAATAGCTTGTGATTGCAAGAAGCACAGTTGTCTTTGTAGACTTGGTGAGTCAGGCCATCCCTACTGAACCAACATGTGATTGATTTGTTCTTGGAGTATATAGTCTCAGGCCTGCCACCATCTTTTCTTTTGGGTCTTTGGCCTGCCACACTGTATACTATTATTCTACTACACATTTTCTATTGGGGGAAATTGGGAGGGGAGGATTGTACGGAGTTAGATGATAGGTAGCTGTTGTGGCCCGGCAGGTGCCGTTGGAGCTGCCGCCAGACTCCGACAGCGAGGGGTCTTATGAGTTGGCCTT